ACAGGTTCAAGTGATTCTACTGCAACCTCTGCCTCACAGGTTCAAGTGATTCTCCTGCTTCAGCCTCCCACACAGCTGGAATTACAGGCACCTGCCACCTAATTTCTGTATGACGGGGTTTTGTCATGTTGGCCAGGCTGGTCTCAAACTCCTGATCTCAGGTGATCCACCCGCCTCAGCCTGCCAAAGTGCTGGGATTACAGGGGTGAGCCACTGTGCACAGTCCCATTTACATGATAACTTATTGATATCTTGATGAACTTGCGTTCTATGGAACATGTTTTTGAGAAATGCTAGACCGTGTGCATGGACACAATTGAGTATGCACCGCTAACTCTATTTGAACTAAGAGCTACTTCCTGTCCCCATGCGCAGGGCCAGAGGGGTAGTGAGAGGAAATGAGCCAGGAATGATCAGCCTCTCTCGCTGGCAGGAGCGTTTTTCATACCTCAGTGGAGGGTGTTCCTTGTGTGTGAAATGAGGAGTGTGTGGCCAAGTAGATCTCTGTGCTTCCTCACCCTTCTTCAACCCAATGCATCTGCTTTGTTGCGGTTTTTTGCAAGATTTCATTAGAATAATAAAAAAGATTCCATCAGCCAAAAACCAAATAAACAACAACAAAAAAACCAACAAAAACAAAACAATAGTGGTTAATGGTGTTTTAAAACCTGTGCATGGAGCAAAAATCTAGGAGTGATAAGTGCTGTCTAGGACCTTCTACAGTCACTTATCCTCTGGTTTTCCCATCTGTAAAATGGGATCGATAATGTTGCAGACACTAAAAACTCTTTTAAAAAAGAATAGACGTTTGCTCCATACTTAATTCAAGGTAGAATGTGAGCAGGTAGAGAAGGACGGGAAGGAAAGTAAATATTTGTCATTTTTCAGCTCTCCATCATCTGAATCCCCTTTTCATTATCAACTGTGAGGTAGAAGGTCAACTGCATATTCCCGTAAGGGGTTTAATATTAGCGTAAGTGACCCAGAGGCAGTTTAGGGCTCACTGTGGTCATAGTGACAACCACTGCTCAGTGACAATGACATCAGCCGTGGTGCCTAGTCCCCAGAAATGGCAGTGACCAAGCTGCACTGTTCACGTGGCCTGAGGCTTTATGAGTTTCCTTTGTTCCCTGTGTGGGTTTTGTGTCTGATTCTCTGGCCTTCCCATGAGTCTGCAAGCCTCTCTGTGTTCTTCAATTTAATGCTTTGTAGATTAAGTTAGTCAGAATTCCTTCAACCGAGACCTATAGGCATAGATGGTGGCATATTGGAGTGTGAGGTTGGGGCAGCCTGGGATGGAAGCCATTTTAGGAGATCTAAAATGATTTTAGGAGACTACTAAAATTTGTCATGTGACCATTTTCAGGAGATCATTTTTAGTGATCATTTTAGGAGATCACTAAAATTTGTCTCAAACAGACTGGGAAAACCATGGTCCCTGTTTGGGTCATATTCCTGTAGATGTAGAATATATTTCAGCAGGGGAAAGTTTTTCTGCTCTTTGTATTTATAATTTATCATTTTCTTACATAATCAAGAGACCTGCAGAACACCTATTTTTTTAAAACTTCTCTCTGTGCCAGTTTTGTTAGGATCTAATAAAAATTCATCTTTTAAAACGTATAAAACAAAATTAGGAGAGAGATTATGAAATAGCACAGTAATACTGACTATAGTAATGCCAGAGAACAGACGAAAAAGAAAGAAAATATGGGTGACAAATAGTCAGCTGAAATCCTAACCCAAACAGCCCTTGACTCTCAGGAGTCAGGGCAGTTCATTTCCATTGGGTGATAACTGCAAACTTTGTTTTGTCCTATTGAATGCACAGAGAAGTGATAAGAACATCATTGCAGCTAACATCAGCAGGAAGGACACTCTAAGTTACTTTCATGGACAGGGACCTACACGAATCTGGTGTCATCTGTGAAACATCCCCTAGGGATTCAGAGGTGTCACTGATACCTCATCTGTATTTTCAGAGAAGCCACCTCAATCTACTACTAAAATTTAGCTGCAGGTATAAAAATAGACACACAGATCAACGGAACAGAATAGGGAACCCAGAAATAAACCCACATACCTACAACCAACTGATTTTTGACAAAGTCATCAAAAATATATACTGGGAAAATGATACCCTATTCAACAAATGGTGCTGGAAAAATTGGATAGCCACATGCAGAAGAATGAAACTGGACCTATACCTCTCACCATATAAAAAGATGAACTTGGGCCAGGAGTAATGACTCATGGCTATAACCCCAGCACTTTGAGAGGCCAAGGCAGGAGGATCGCTTGAGCCCAGGAGTTACCAACCTAGGCAACATGGCAACATTGCAAGACCCTGTCTCTAAAAAAGTTTTTTAAAAAATTAGATGAGTGTGTGGTGGTACATGCTTGTGGTCCCAGCTACTTAGGAGATGGCGGTGGGAGGATTGCTCGAGTCCAAAAGGTTAAGGCTGCAGTGAGCCATGTTCATGCCACTGCATTCCAGCTTGGATAACAGAGCACAATGCCATCCCCAAAATTATGATAATAATAATAATAAGACAAAGACAAACATAAAACATGAAACCATAAATATCCTAGAAAAAAACCCAGGAAAATTCTTCTAGGCATTGCCCAGGGCAAAAAATTTTTGAGCAAGTCCTCAAAAGCAAATGCAACAAAAACAAAAATAGACAAATGGGATTTAATTAAATTAAAAAGCTTCTGCACAGCAAAAAGAAATGACCAAGAGAGTAGACAAACTATAGTATAGGAAAAATATTTGCAAACTATGGATCCAACAAAGGGCTAATATCCAGAATCCATAAGGAATTCAAACAACTCAAGAAGAAAAAACAACCCCTTTAAAAAAGTGGGCAAAGGATATCAACAGGCATTTTTCAAAAGAAGTCATAGAAATGGCCAACAAACACATGAAAAACTCTTCAACATCACTAATAACCAGAGAAATGCAAATTGAAACCACAATGAGGTATCATCTAATACCAGTCAGAATGATTATTATTAAAAGTCTAAAAGAAACAGAAGTTGGTGAGGATGTAAAGAAAAGGGAATGATTACACACTGTTGGTGGGAATGTAAATTAGTACAACCTTTATAGAAAACAGTATGGAGATCTCTCAAAAACTTAGAATAGGCCTACCATTTAAACCAGCATCCCATGACTGGGTATATACCCAAAAGGAAAGAAATCATTATATCAAAAAGACACCTGCATTGTATATTTATTGCAGCATTATTCACAATAGCAAAATCATGGAATCAATCCAAGTGCCCATCAACAAAGGTTTGATAAAGAAAATGTTATATATATATATACACACACACCATGGCATACAATTGAGCCATAAAAGGAATAAAATAATGTCTTTTCCAGCAACATAGAAGGAACTGGAGGCCATTATCCTAAGTGAATTAACTAAGAAACAGAAAGTCAAATATCGCATATTCTCACTCATAAGTGGGAGGTAAATAATGGGTGTACATGAACATACAGAGTGAAATAATAGACACTGGAGACTATGAAAGGTGAGAGGGTGGGAATCGGGTGAGGGGTTAAAAATTACCTATTTTATAAAGTTTATAACCTTTAATACTTACAACATGCAAGATAGGTAGTCCTATCTTATAGATGAGGAAACCAAGACTCAGATGTTATTTGATCTAAAGTCACATAGCTAATAAATGTGAAGCCTGGATTTGAACCTAGTTCCAGCTGTCTCTCAAGTTTTTGGTTTTAATCCCTTCTCAGTCTTGCTTCAGAAGCAGAGAATTTATAATCTCCTAAATCTGAGAGTTCTTCGGTAAACACTTAAACTGCAAACACTTAAATTGGGTAAATAATGAAATTGTAGACTAATCACAATTTCAGGTTGTGAGATTGTATAAAAAAGGAGAAAGGGGTCATTCTCTCCCTCCCCTGGGACAAATTTAAGCCATATGTGCATATGTATGAAGGTGAAAGATGGTTTACTTGGGAGAGACTCAGGTGGTGAGAAACTGGGGGCCTAAGATAGTTTTGCTGGAGAAACAGGAGGGGCTTCTAGGGGTGAACATAACATGCTAACGTTACAACAGCAGTCACAGGAACAAGGTGCCTAGTGGAAAGGAAGAACTCCATCTTGCCAGGCTGTCCTAGAGAAAAAAGACTCTGAAACTATAGTGCAGCAAAGAGGGGTAATAGGATGGCAACAATGACAGCTACTGTGTATTGAGTGTTCACTACATGCAAGGACCATGTATTGAGTGTTCACTACATGCAAGGACCATTCCAAGTGCTTTACGTGTGTTAACTCGTTTAATATTCACATTCTTGCTAGAAGGTAAGTACTGATCACAGTATCTTTTTATGAATGAGGAAACTGAGCCACAAAGAATTAATTTTAAGAAGAATTAAATTTGCCCAAGTCACACAAGAGTTCTAGAACCAGAATTCAAATTTAGGCCATTTGCCTTCAGAGCTTATACCCTTAACCACTATAATTTAGACTCTGAGGAAAGTGAACACGTATGAGGCTGATTGGCAGTGAAAGAAACTAAGAAAAGGAAAGAGCAGGATGGAGCCTAATGGATATTAAAGCAAAACAGAGTTAAATTCCATCTCAGTGTTGACAAGGACTTGCTCACACGCTGACGATCGTGGCAACTACTTAATGGAAAAATTGCAAAGGGCCTTGGAATGTGATTATCATATTACAGAAGGTACCACACAGAAGTAATTATAATAAAGCCAACTCCCTCTCACAGGTACCAAACCTGAACTGATGCTGTCTATGCCCAGGTGGTACCATTGACCAATTTCCCTATTTCTGCCGAAGCGATGGCAGCTTGGAGGCAACTTAGCTCCTTCATTATTGATACCCTATCATGCTTTCTCAATCCTCTCGTGAAAATTTGACTATTTTTACTGAGCCCAGGCCTCTTGTACTTCACTTGGATTTTGCAAAAATGCCTCACAGGTCACATTGCCTCTTGTCTCTCCCCTCCAGACTGAACCAAATAACTCTGCCAGGAGAATCTTTCAGAATGTTCTGGAACATTGGAAATAGCCCTAAAGCTTAAATGGTGAATCAAAAGAGTTATGCTCTATTCTAGTGCTGCCACTAGGTAAGTGACCCTGGAGTCATTTCAACCCTCTAGATCTTTAGTTTCTACAAATATAAAAGGAAAAGTTGACATTGGTGCTCTCTAAGGTCCTTCTAGTGCTGTAAGTATATGAATGCATGAATGAATGAATTCTTTGCTTGTATACCTGCTTGTGGATTTCTGTTTAACACTTGAAATCTGGTGCTCAAGGCTCTATATAAGTTTTCTCACACCATTTTACAAGATAGCTATCCCTCCTATCATGTCATATTCATTTCCAAACCCCAGCTTCTCTTCCTGCTATTCTTGCTTCCCAAAAAGGCAAATTCCATCCTTTTCACAGCGAAAACCTTAGGCCACCATTAAGGTTCTGTTCTAGAACCATGTCTTCCACTGACAGCTTTATTGAGTGAGTGACTTCAGGCTGCACCATTGTAATTCTTCAGAAAGTGCATACGCATGGTAGCTAAAGAGTCTGGGCCCTGGAGTCAGACTGCCTGGAGTCAAATCCTAGCTCTGCTACCTACGAGCTGCTGCTCAGTTAACCTTTCTATGCCTCAGTTTCACCATGTGTAAAACGGATCATAAAAATGGCTATTTGGTAAGATTGTTGTAAAGTTTAATATACATGTTAATATACGTAAAACACATGGGAGAGCTTCAGATACATAGTAAGTGCCATGTAAATATCATCTATTATTATTGTTGCAACGAAATTTCTTACACCTTAACTCAATCTTAAGAATTAAATTGTTTCGTGCATGTAGGTATTTTCTCCCCGAGTAAACAGCAAGGATCTTCACTATTTTCTTATTTCATATCCTGGCAAGGGAAATCAAGGCATCACAGCAGCTATTCCTCTAAACAAACACCTGAAGACAGTAAGGGAAGACCTACCTGGTGCACTGCAACTTTAAGCTCCTTTACTTTGGCAAATAAAGAGAATTATGACATAAACAAACATAATACAGACTCTGCAGCCGCAGCCACTGGCTTCTCCTTAATATCTTGGTTTCTTTCTGAATCTTTATAGTAATTCTAAGAGTTGAGAATGAGAGTTTCTAATGGATTTATAGATATTACTTTATATAATTCAGTACATAATAAAATGACAACCTTTTGAAAATGCATATGAGTGTCATCGTGTTGAGGCAGTTATTGCAGGAAAGGGGAGAAAGTAAAAACTATGTGTGGAATAAAATGATAAAATATTCTTGTTTCATCAGCTTACCTTTTGACTCCTTTTTATCGTGAGTTCCAAATATGGTCAAGATGAAATGTGTTTATTTTGCCTTGAACCTTCTTACTAATGTACCAAAGGGGCATTTCATGAAAGCTAAGCAGTACGAATTTCCAATAAAGCAACGAAGCTCCCTTAAGAAGTGCTCTGGAAGGAAAATTTCTCATCGTTTTGTTATATTTCTCATCACCAAGTCAAACCAAATGCCAGCGCCATGTTGTACAGGAAGGGTGCCTTGACATGAAATATTACATTCCACTGGCAGTGAGATGACCATTGTGTTCCTCAGAGCAAGCATGTCTTCATAAGCCAGTTCCTGTTTGCAAACTGATCTCACAGGTGATCCAGAAAAATGCATACTGCAGCAGCAGTGTGGGCTAGTGGGGAGGCTTATAGCTTTCTAGTGATTCTGCACAGCCTTTGGAAGCCATGGTGGGTCTGAAGCCATAAAATGGTGTGGTTGAAAATGCTGGAGTTGAAAATACAGCTAAACTCCAAAGTAATGTGGACTAAAGCTGGGTGTGCAATTATTTTCTTGAGTGATGATCACAAGGAAGATAATATCATCCAATGTCTTTCCTCATTAAGTGGGATGATGGACTATCCTGATGGACAAGGTCTTTGCTCTCATGCTGATCTCTACTGCATTAGGACACATCTCAAAAACAAAGCAAAATAATTCTCCTTCTGCCCCTCCCCACATAAACAAACAATACAGAAACAAACTCTAGTGCGTCTTTCTCTAGAACACTAAGGACTATGACAAGCTATTAGAAGACAGAATAGACTTCCACCTTAATCGGTATGTATGATGTATTCGGAAATATTTATTGAGCCCTATGCTAGGACTTGGGCTAGAGAAATAAATCATACACCACTCCTATTCTAAAGGAGCTTACAGTCTACTAGATAAAAGATAAGCCCTTTCTGTCACAAAATGGAACATGCATGGACAACTGGGATTTAATATTCACAACACAGGATTTTTTTCAAAGTCTTTCACCTACTGTTGTTCTCTCATGATGATTTGCTGCTCTTTGGGGGATGACACTATTTTCACTCTATGTGTAGCTGTCTGACTCAAGCCTCACACATTTAATGGGGGTGGGGGAAGCATTTCCAGGTTAGAATGAAATATAAAGTTCTTTGGCTCAACTGAACTTTTCACTAGCACCGCTTAGACACTCTGAATCCTGGAAACATGGTAGAATATGATGCCAAGAACTCGGCAAGTATCTGGAAAAAAATCAACTGAGCTTTAACTTAGCATTTTATTGACTCTTTACAAAATGAACCAAGAATAGATAAACCTGTATAAACTTACTGATTTATAGCTTTCCAAATATTTTCTATGTTTCTCTACCATGTATTTGTTTTGCTTTAAGTCTTTTGAATTGGTACTTGACTGATAAGGATATGCATTGTAAATGTCTCCAAAAGATAAGAATTTCTTCTAACTCAGGAAGGAAGAGAAGGAGAATGAATATAAAACGTCTTGGAGAGGACTCACTTTGTTTAATTCCCCCTCTGGATTGCTAGAAACTTGGGAGTGGGGAATTGCCTTACTCATCTTGGTCACTTCTGAATCTGCCTCAAGTACTCTACAAATGTTTGCTGAATGAATGTATGAATGAGGGATGGATGAATGTCTAGGTCTTGAAGGAGAAGGCAGTAGTAAATAAAGAAAGATGGGGAAGAGATTGAGGACAAGAGAGAATTTGTACAGCATGGGAATTGTGGGTGGATGCAAGTTTGGGGAATGGTGGCAGGTTACATGATATTAGTGTAGTTGAATGGTAAGGCATGGTGGCAGAAGAGCCTGCAGAAAGACTCTGGGGCCACACTGGCAAATATATCTGCTTTCTATGATACTGTGGCAGCCAGTCTATCATTTCCACATCTTTTTTCTTTTATTTAATTTTTGAAGGCCACAGTAGCTCAAGCTCTACTAATAGGTCTTCATTTATAACTGTTTCTATATTAACTTATGGATACAAAGACGCCTGGATTTGGGGGCTACCATGTAAAGTTGAGCATGTTGTGCACTGCACAATTCCCAGGAACACTCTACACATCCAGTACAGCGCATGACAGTCCTGTGCTTCCTTGATCTCCCTATATTTGTAGTGAAATATATTTACAAATTGATAAATTGCTGGAAGTATAACATGTTGAGAAATACTTTTAACTGTCTTTCATCTTTACCCATTATATTGTCCTGAACACCCCCTGATTCTTTTGTTTTCCTCAGTCTATGAGGGTGATATTACAGAAAAAAATGCATTGCTTTTTTGTGATGCTTCCACATTCTAACTCTCAATAATCAAAGTGTACCTATTTTGAACCATTTTATATTGGGTAGGGTTCTGATGTGGTAGTTCTTGGGTTCAAATCCTGGCTCTGTCACTTACTCTGTGACCTTCTGCAAACTACCTAACTTCTCCGTGACTCATTTTCCTTAGTTGTAAAATAGGAATAAGAGCTCTTACCCTATAGGGTTAATGTAAGGAATAATTGAGATAATCTATGTAAAGCACTTAGCGCAGTGACACAGGGAGTGCTCATAGGTGTTTGCAATTATGCTACTAAATTACTATTGCTGATACTGGACTTCCAGGTTGAGCCTGCTGGACAGAATGCCTCCTGTGCCCCTACAGCTGGGACTGCCCATCCAGAGCTTGTGTGTTTCCAATGAGCAGAGCAGGTGTCCACATTCCTCCCAGGTTGTTCGTTCCATGAAAGTTAGGCAGTTAATCCCCAGCCACGGATTGACAGATCACAAACATACACATACACACCATGCACACATTTCACCTCTACTTCAGGAAATTCTAACAACAATGCCACAAAGTCAGGATGCTGTTAGGGCTTCCTTCCCTGTCTCTTTCTCCAGTCTAGTGCATTCAAACAACATTTTTGGGTTTGAGAGGGAAATGGGAGATAGGCGAGTCCCCACAATGTTTCCTGGATAACAGCGGAACTTTGGCAGACAACAATGGTTTTTGGTAAAGGGTGAGCCCAAGAAGGAGAGAAAAGGCAGTTTTGTTGTTGCTTTTAGTGGTGGTGAGTGTGTGCATGTGTCAGATTGTAAATAGGGCAGAGAATTATGTCAGATCTGGAGAGGGACCTGGAAATCAAAGGTTAAGTTGCAGGGGCCCAGGGGTCTAGGGTCAGGTAAACAGTGGGGGAGGGGGAGCACAATGGCAAGTTGAAAAGCAGGATTCAATAATGAGTAAGGATCAGAGAATCACAGCACGTCTTCTCTCACCTAATCATTTACTCATTCATTTCACAGATTGTTCTTGAGCACTGACTATGTGCTGGGATGAGTTAGATGCAGGGTATTCAACAAAGAACAAGACAGAATCCCTACCTTCATGGAGCTATGATCTAAAGGAAATAAATAAACACATTCTTGGTGAGAAGTTATATTCTACAAGTAAGTGCAAGGCATTATGGCTATGAAGGGGTGCTATGTGGTCTGATAAATTTTCTTGGAGAAAATTTGGTGCTTTCAGGAGCAGCCGTTAGATCGGCACAGCTGGGGTATACTGCGGGAGTGAAGTAAAATGAAGACAGAGGTAAACAGGAGCTGTATTATAAAAACCATCTTAGGATGAAAGGTTAAGGAAACTGTTCTTTATTATGAGGGTAATTTGCAATGCAAAACTTAAATATTAGTCAGATCTCAAGGCTTGGAATCTAGGGAGGGAAATTTGGTGGCTATTTCCTTGAATATATTATATATAATAGGAAAAGTCAACCGGGGTTATTTATTGGA